ACGCAAGTTGTTATTACATGGATAAAAAATATCTTTGTTGCTACACGTACGCAAGTTACTATTACATAGGGAAGAAAATATCAAATTATATCCCTGTAGACTGTATATTAGATGTTAAGATCTATTCTTTATGAATTGCTCAATATATAATCTATCCATTAACTGTTATTAAAGGAGAATGTCTCTTTTTTCAATGCTCTTATTGAGTCTGCCCACACATTTCCTCATCTTTTTTTTTTTTTTTTTTTTTTTTTTTTTTTTTTTTTTAATGTTTTTTTTTAGTTTCCCCCCCCATTTCCTCTTTTTTTTTTTTTTTTTTTTTTTTTTTTTTCTTTTTTAACTTTATTTTTACAATGTATGCCTCCTTCTATAGAGCTCCTCCTTCCTCTCTTTTCCCTTTTTTTTATATTTTTGTAACTTTATTTTTACAATGAATGTCTCCTTCTACGTAGCTCTTAAGGAGCCTCCTCAGGCTACCACGTGGCTGCTGATCTTCTTCTTTTTGGTGGGTTTTTTTTTTTTTTTTTTTTTTTTTTTTTTTTTTTTTTTTATCTTTTTACTTTTTTTTAACTATTTTTACAATTTTTAAATGTTCTTTCACAGTTTTTCTTTTGAGGCCTCCTATCAGTATGATCCGTTTTCTTAACGTTGAACTCGTTAAAATTACATTGGATTAAAAAAATATACAAAATAGATAATTTTTAATATAAATCTAATGACTAAAAGTAAAAAAATTAATGATAATTTATTTTTTAAGACCTACTAAAAAAACTAGCGGTTGTAGAAAGGTCTCATTCTACATGCCACATGTCAGCTCTTCTCACCCTTTCACTTTTTTCCCCTCTTTTTAGTTTTTTTTAACTTTATTTTTACAAAATTTTTAATTTTTTTTGCACCATTTCTTTTAGGGCCTTCTACCAATAGGAGTTAGTTTTCTTACCTTCTAACTTGTCAAGATCACATTGGATTAGAAAAATTTGTAAAGTAGATAATATAGATGTAACAGTTGAAATTGAAAGTAAGAACATCTCCGAGAGAACTTTCTAAATTTTAACTAAATTCTAACTAAAATAGCTAAAAAAAAAAAATACTTTATAGGCAATTTTTTAATACTTTTTTTTTGGCCTTTTTTCCTATTTCTTGCTTTAGATCTTTTTTCTTCTCTCTTTTTTTTTAACAATTTATATAACTATTATTTTAAATGAGTTAGTGCACGATATATACCATTTTCTAAAGGAGAATTGGTTTTTTTGGGGGCCGTGGAAAACGCTACGCACCATTCTCTCCCCATATTAATCCAAAAAATGTTTTTTTGCATTAGCCTTTTTTTTTTTTTTGCTTTTTTTCTCCTTTTTCTTTTTTCCCCTCACTTCTTTCTTCCCTTCATTTTTTTCCTCTACAATACATTCTTTTTTGCCCTTTTCTCAAGTGTGACCTTCAAAATTTTTCACTAATCATCGCGTTCAAATAATTTCTTCTCATATATGTTCTAATCAAAATTTTTTTTTATTTACAAAATGACACTCTCAAATACTTTTTTTTATTATATATACCTAATATTTTTTTTTTCTTTTTCCCCCTCACTTCTTTCTTCCCTCCCTATTTCCCCCCTCTATAATACGTTCTTTTTTTTTTCTATTTCAAATGTGACCCCCATAAATATTTTTCCTCTAATTGGTCCGCTAAAATAATTTATTTTCATATATGTCCTAATCAAATTTTTTTTACTACATATGCCCAATAAATAATTTTTAATATCTTGTTTTCAAATGTGCCTTTATTGAAGTATTTTATTTGCAATTTTTTAAAATACATTTCTTTCTTGTGTACCACTAAATAACTTTTCGACTCATTCGCTCCATGAAAAACTTTTTTTCTTTTAATATTGTTCTATTTAATATTTTTCTCAAAACATAAACTATACAATTTCCAAAAAAAAAAAAGGACCTTCATATCGGAGAAAAAGAAAAATGTTGAACAAGCATGCATGGTGCGCTTGTTTACAACTAGTACTAAACTTGGAGGGTAAAAGTAAAACAAGCAAAGAAGATAAATACAATACAACATATAATTCATATCTATACAAACTTAAAAGAGCCAAAGAATTGACTTCTAAAGAGGCCATGTGTTGGTATTTAGTAAGATCTTCTCCACAATTTATGATTGGATTGTTTATTTTTTTCGTTATTTTCGTATTTCTCGATTTCATTTTTCACTAGTGTTCATATCGACTTTTAAAAAAGAAAGCGTACGCAATAATTCCTTTGGAAGCTATCATAATTATGTACTACAATATTTTTAGATAGTAAAAATAGACCATTCAAGCAAATAATTAATTAGACATGTTTCTATAACATTTTATTTCTTTTGTTTTTGTTAATTATCCTATTTGTTTGCTTTACATTTAGAACAAAAATCATAATTTTTTCTCAAACATGTAGATGAAATTTCATTAAATGCTTCCAGAAGGGAAGAACTTAATCTTTCGTAAATAAGATTAAAGAGTGGAAAAGAGAATAATTAAACTTAGCAGCACTTCGTAATTAAAAACTTCTCCTGTACATATCATACATTTTATATAAAATAAATGTTGATTAGATTTTATTAAATGTTTTTGTTCTCCTGAGTCATTCTTAAGATCGAACAATATTGGAAATCTCGATATCCATTAATATCCATTCCTGATCAATGAATTATGATAATTTACATGTGTACATCGAGAAAAATATCTTCAATAGTTTTGATAAAAAAATCTTATGTAATATTTTAAGGCATAAAAGCCCATTAGGGATCATCATAATAGTTAATAATTATTAGTTTTGATTAAATATGCATTTTAATCATTAGTCCCCTCACAAAAACAAAAACAAAAAATCCTAACTTCGTTAAAACAATCAATGCTGTTGCTCTCTCTCTCAGCATAGTCTTTGTAATGAAATTGTGAGAAAATAATAAATAATCAGATGCCTCATGTAGGCCACACGAACGTAGCCAATGAGAAACCATGGGGCACTTTTATTTATTTGCATTTATGCATATATATATATATATATATAT